AAAGGAAAGGCGGTATCACAACTTGAGTACTCTCAAGCTATTGGTAGTTTAATGTATGCCATGACAAGCACTCGGCCGGATATTGCTTTTGCCGTGGGTAAGTTGAGCCGGTTTACTAGTAATCCTAGTACTCAACATTGGCAAGCAATGAAGAGAGTGTTCAAGTATTTGAAGGGAACCATGGATTATGGTTTGTGTTACTTTGAGTATCCTTCGGTTTTAAAGGGATATTCGGATGCAAGTTGGATATCCAATGTAGAGGATCACTCTTCTACAAGTGGTTGGGTATTTTTGCTTGGGGGAGGTGCCATTTCTTGGGCATCCAAGAAGCAAACTTGTATCACAAGTTCAACGATGGAATCTGAGTTTGTTGCGTTGGCTACCGTCGGTAAAGAGGCGGAGTGGTTAAGAAATTTAATTTTTGAGATTCCATTGTGGGGGAAGCCGATTGCACCTATTTCTATCCATTGTGATAGTGCTGCCACTTTGGCTAAGGCGTATAGTCATGTTTATAATGGCAAGTCTAGACACTTAGGTGTTAGACATAGTATGATTAGAGAACTAATCACGAATGGTGTAATTTCGGTGGAATTTGTAAGATCGCAACATAACTTGGCGGACCACTTGACCAAAAGTTTGGCCCGGGACTTAGTGCACAAGTCTGTGATAGGGATGGGTTTAAAGTCCATTTAATCCTTAATGGTGAGACACCCAATTCCCCTCTAATACAACATTAGAGGCTGAATTCAATGCGGAAAGCTCACACTTAATGGATTGGAACACACAATGAAAATCATCCCAAGGTGTGTGTTCGGACCTGTAGTAGGGAGGCTGAATTTATTTCTTAATAATTCCTTTGATAAAGTGTAAGCAGGTACACGAGTAAAGGAATTACCTATATGATCGTGAAGTGTAGCCGCATTTCAAAAAGCTTGGGACTTGGCTTTTATACGGTCATGAATGGGATTAGGACACACGGCTTTATAATTGTGTCAAGTTTGTATTCTAGTTGAATATTGAAACTTGTATGTATTTTATCTTGAGGTATTCAAATGGGTTGAAGGGTTCAATCCGTAGGACACCCCGATTCTCGAATATTTTGAATGTGTAAAATACTAAGATGGAAATTCAATCGTATCGACATTTCCATTTATGTGCAAGTTTTGGTTTGTAAGCTTTGTTATGTCATTTCATGGGTTACACTAAAATGGGGGAGGATTGTTGGTGATTTTAGTGTCACCGGCCATTTTGTGTAATTGGAAATGACATGAGTGCCAATGGGAATTAGAACTATGATCTAATACAAGTTAGTAGGTGTGGAGTGCACACTTGTATATAAGAACTAGTTTAGTTCCAAAGTGTCTACGTTAGTGGAACTCGAGGTAGAACTCGAGGTATAACTTTCAGTAGACCAGCTCCGTGGTTCTAGACCGAGTTCTAGAACGGTTAGGCAGTTTCCAGCAGTTTCCCAAAAACTGATGCGGTTATTCTTAATCGTGTTACTACTGCCTAGGACGATGAATATGGATATATACCACCATATTTCGTACAGAGGGGGAGGAGGATCAATATCCAACATATCTTCATCACTTTGGCACTCAAATTAAAGATAACAATCCATATACTCGACTAGTTTGGCTCTAGTTCTTGTGCCTAAGTTCTAGAGTGTCCTTAAGGATTATCCTAGATTGAATTTCTTGTAACCCAGGCATAGGGGAGAAATATCAATTCGGAAAGTGAACTTACACGATCCTTAAGATATTCAAGTACTCGAATTATCACCCCCTACGTATTAACCCCAACAAAGATGGGTTGATTGCAATTTGCATTTTTTATTGCACAAAACATATTTGTATTCATGGAAGACCATTATTTTTGTGCATTTGAAGTTGTCAATGTAATTGTGTGTATTTCAAATTAATACGGTATCACGATTACTATTGTAATCATTATTATGTTCTGCATTAAAATCATATAGTGAAGGTATTTTTGAAAATATACAATATCATTTTTAAGGCTACAAATAATTTTAATGAAAAGTTTATATGTCTCAAAATATCCTGCATTGAAACCCACACAAGTCCCGTGAAATTTGCACGATCATATCAAATGTCCACTGAAATCATAAATAGTTACACCCCCTAAGAAAAAGGTCGGATCCCCAATGATTATACATCTTAAAATGTGATGTATAATCATTATTATGAGAGTGTCTATCTACTCTTAAAAAATGCTTCTACTATAATTCATTACAATTACTCCTGCTTCTCTCTACGGATGGTTTCCGCCGCTAGGGTTATTTCATTCCCTATCGTTTGCAACAAGGAGCGGCCGCCGCATGCGAACTTAGGCGTATAGAGTGTCTTCATGTGCCATCAATTGTGCGGCTATTTTTCTTATTTTGCTTTGAAGAGATTAAGTGGAGGGAAGGTGATGCTTGGTCTCTAGCGGCCGAAGGTTGTGCAGGGGCGAAAGACGGATGCTTGATCTTCGGCGGCCAAAGGTCATGGACGAAGCGTGGGGTTAGAGGCTGGAACAAATTTGGATCCAAGGTCATCCGTGATAGGTGGAGACAAAGGAAACTTGGTACAGAACATGATGAACAACCGTCAAGGTGAGGAAGCAGCTATAGTACTGTTGGATCGTCCCTCCTGAACCACCGTCAGGGAGTGCAAGAGAGTCTAGGGTTTGGAAGAAACATTTTACTTTTACTGTTTGTTTGCTATTTATTTTTCATGATCAGACTGTTTATTTTTCTGTTGGTTACTTTTATTGTTGTAAGACTCTTGCATTAGGATTAGGGCTGGGCATATCGGTTTTCGGTTCGGTTTTTATCGGTTTCGGTTCGGTTCGGAACGGGTTGGGAGAATTAGTACCAAACAAAAACCATACTATTTTTCGGTTTGGTTCGGTTTGGTTTGGATTTGTTATTTTTTAATAATATATGAAGGTTTTATTGAATTTCTTTAGTTCGGTTCGGTTGTATTCTGTTTTTATCGGTTTCGGTTCGGTTTGGAAGAAATACTACCAAACTCAAACCAAATTGCATATGGTCCGGTTTCGGTTCGGTCTAGTTCGGTTTGCTACGGTTCGGTTCGGTTAAACCAAACCAATATGCTCACCCCTAATTAGGATTGAGTGATGGGAGACCTGCATTAACCGTCATTGACTCATTTGCCCATTATAGGATCAATGAGTCATATTGCTTTTTTAAGGTGAATAACTCTAAGTCTGGTTCAAGGGCTGATGGTTGTCTGTGATCCTTTTGTTGTTTTAGCCCCTATCTGAATGTTGTGATATCAATTTAAGCCCTTTCTTAAAATATACTTCTACTATCTAAGACAACGGAAACATATATCAAAGTGAGAAGTAATATTCCCTTTGCGAGAGTAATAATTTTCGATCCTTACAAATGTATTTTTAGCATTTTTAATTTACTATTCTTGCTTTTGCTTCTGCTTCTTAAGGGTGTGCCATCAATATGGATTCTCAAGGATTTTAATGGAGGTTAGAATTTCGTTAGAATTTAGGTTTGAATTTCTTTGGAATCCATGAAAATCATGGGGTTCCAAACATTACATAGATTTCTATTATTACTAATTTGGATGGATTTTAATAGATTTTGGTGGTTTTGCGCATACAAAACATTCCACCACAAATCTTGTACACATCCCTTGGATTTCAAAATTCACGATCTTTTAAAATCCATCAAAGCCACACTTGGGGACCCCCAAAGCGTCAAATTCTCAAATGGCTGATTTTTAATTTTCCTTAGAAATGTTTTTTTAGCATTTTTAATATTTTTTTAAAAAAAAACTGCTTATATTAATATCATTAAGATCCAGATTGTTACAACAAACTCAAACAGACCAACACTAACAACAACTATCTGTAACCAACTGGCACTATCAACCCTGAAAGAGCAATATGAATCGCTAACCACCAAACAGGCGTGACACATCGATCACAACCATATAAATCCTTCTACCAACATAATATCTAGCAGAATTGTCAATCATTATTGCAAACATAAAACTAAAGACACCAACAAAAAACAAAAATAACGTAAACAAACATAACGCGGAAATAAGACCATAAAAAAATGAAATAACTGATAGACACTTCAAGCTCCTTCCTGCCAGTATTCTTGAAGTATCATCTTCCAAACCCTATCACCTCGATCGCTCCATGGAGGCAGTTCAGGAGGGGCGGACCGCCAACATGTCTTCTCTCTCACTCAGGACTCTATCCAAAATTGGTTCCACCCTGAGGTGAAATCCATCCAAACATGACGCAATCGAGTCGCGCCATCGATTTGTCCCCTGCGCCCAAGACAATCTCAATCGCCCCATATGACGATCAGCTGAGCGGAACTGACAAGACAATTTTCCAATCAAAAGTACCAATCACAAATCTCCAGATTCGATCCATATCAGCACGTCAAGAAGTATAAATCATAGATAAGCAAACCATGGAGAGGCAGAGCGTGTTAAGGCCGCCCTCCCACTGTCACTCCAAATCGTTCACTGGACAAGAAACGATGTAAGTCACTAGACAAGAAAGATGAGAGTTTCAATGTGAAAAATGATAAAGGGGGTGTTTATATCTGAAAACTGCTTCTGCTCCTCCAGGGAGCAGAAGCAGAAGCTGGAGTGTTTGAGTGAAAGTGCAGAAGTGATTCTGGTACTCAAATTTACTCCTAGAATCAGTTTTTTAGAAGTTGGGGTGACGAGTTTCTTAAAATTGATTCTGATTCTGCTTCTGTTTTAAAAAAAGAAGCAGAATCAGTTCCAAACACCCCAAATTCTCTCAAATAATTTGATGTTTACATGGAAGTGAAAATGCATTTTAATAACTTAAAAAAAATATAGATAAAATTGAGTGGGGAGTAATAATTTAATTTTATAATTTTATATAAAAAAAATCAACGGGAAAACCCGTTTACCCGTTCCCGGTCTGATTCTATATCCACATGGTTTAAGAAGGGTTTAGAGTTAGCCATAAAATCTGCTGTAAGCATCGTGGACCGCTTGAACCTCTATCATCTTCAAGCCCAGTGTGTGTTCTTCACTGCTTCTCCTCTCGCATTTCGTCGAGCATTTTAATGTCCAGCACCATACCCCCTCTTTCTCTCACCGCCCATTTCAATCAATTCATCGATAAACCCTCGGTCATAGCCTTAAACCCCTGTAGTAGTTCTCCCGTTATGTGGAGAAGCATAGCCAAACAGATCCCTTCAAAAGTCTCTCACAAATTGTCTCTCAATCTTGATAAACTATTGAAGTTCAAATCAGTTGATCCCGTTTCTTGCTCGAAGAATCGCTGTGCGGGGCTAGGATTTCGGAGAAATGGCAAAACTTTTCCGCGGGCAGAGTTTTTGAGCAGACCAGTTTTGCCGCACATAAACGGGTTATCCTCCAAGTGCTATGCTAGTGTGGCCGAAGCTGTTGAGGTTTTGTCCCATGAGACCGAAGAAAGCGTGCCTGCCGTAGCCGATGAGGTTGAGCAATTGTTGGCGGAGATGAGAAGAGAAGAGATGAAACAGTTTCATTGTGAGTGGAGGAAACATCAGAAGAAGTCTAGAGGGATGGGGAGATGGAAATATCAAGCTCTTAGGAAAAGGCAGGTAAAGATTGAGACTGAGGCATGGGAGAAAGCTGCCAAGGAGTACAGGGAACTCCTGGAAGATATGTGTGCTCAGAAGTTGGCACCTAATTTACCATACATGAAATCTCTTTTTCTAGGGTGGTTTGAGCCTCTTTATAAAAGAATTACTGAAGAACAGGAGCGTTGTCGGAATGGGGTAGGAAAAGACAAGCATTTGAAATACATTGATCAGTTACCTGCAGATATGATTGCTGTGATAGCGATGCATAAGTTGATGGGGTTATTAATGGCATGTGGTGAACATGGTGCTGCAAAGGTGGTACATGTTGCCTATACTCTGGGAGATGCAATCGAGCAAGAGGTTGGTTGGTTTACTTTAAAAGAAAGTTCGAGTATTTCTAGCTCAATTTTATTACATGCTAATCAGTTGCATTTTGTATCAGATTAGGATACACAAACTTTTGGAGAAAACAAAGCAGGCTAAAGTAAATAAAGATGCAAATGATAATAAAGTTGATAAAGATACAGACATGGACGGAGAAGAAACTGCAGAAGAAAACAAACAAAATCTGCAGAGAAGAGTCACTAATTTGATAAAGAAGAAAAACCTACGAGCTGTGAGACGTATAGTGGACAGCCAGGACGATTTGAAGCACTGGGAACAAGGTGCCAAGGTTAAGGTAAATATACTCAATCTCATTGTTACTAAAGAAACTAATTATTTGGCTGCATGGGTATACTTAAAAAATTCAACATGTTGCTTTACCTATCAGGTTGGGTGCCATCTGGTTGAGTTGGTATTGCAGACAGCTTATATACAGCCCCCAACAGATGAATTGGCTGACAGTCCACCAGACGTTCGACCTGCATTCATTCATACAACTAGGACTCTCACTAATAAAGCAAAGTAGCATTCTTTACTATTCCCTATAGTAGCTAGGTGCATATTTTTTCATTTATTAATCTTACAATGATGCTTTATTTTTATGTTAAAGGGGTGGTAGCAGAAGATATGGCGTTATCCAATGTGACCCATTGGTCCTCAAAGGTCTTGAAAGATCAGTGAGTAAATCATCAACTTGATCAGCTAGTAGGTGGAATGCTGGGACTCTTTTAATCATCCATATTAATGTGCAGCTGTACTCCGACAGACTTTCTGATAGAGCTGTTGGGATTTATTAAAAAAAGTGATTAGCACGTTTCCAGAAGTTGCTACTATGTGTTTTCATTTTTTTTTCAAACCTTTATTATTTGTACTCCATTATATTATTTAATTTTTTAAGCAGGCTCGGCACATGGTTATTCCTTATATGCCCATGCTAGTTCCTCCAGTCAAGTGGACAGGGTATAAGAAATTCTGCTACCCACGTTATACAATTTCTTTTTGTACCATTATCCTCTTTCCTTTAACACGTTTTGTATACCTAATATAGCTCTTTGTACTTGTGATCTTTAAATCTGTAGTTATGACAAGGGTGCATACCTCTATTTGCCTTCATACGTCATGCGGACACATGGAGCAAGACAGCAAAGAGAAGCTATTAAGAGAGCCCCTAGGAAGCAGTTAGAACCTGTATACGAGGTTTTATAAAAAAATGTTGCTATTGTAAATCAACTGAAGTTGTCCGATACTCCCTATTTAATCCGACCTCCAGACCTCATCATTTAGTCCCTTTTTGTTTTGTCTAGGCACTTGATACACTTGGAAGTACCCGGTGGAGGATAAATAAAAGAGTACTCTCTATTGTTGATCGAATATGGGCCAGTGGTGGTCATCTTGCTGGTTTAGTTAACCGTGATGATGTGGGTACCTCTCTTTAAAGCTAAAAGCTGATCTTTTATAATCCCCGCAAAATGTAGTTAGAAACTACTTATGTTTAAGTTGGGACCTTTTTTTGTAGATCCCTTTGCCAGAAGAACCAGATACAGAAGACGAAACAGTAATTAAAAAGTGGAGGTGGAAAGTAAACAGTGTCAAGAAAGAGAACAGAGAAAGACATTCACTTCGATGTGATACAGAGCTCAAACTTGCTGTAGGATCAATGTGTTCCCTGTCTTCATATTGTTAATTATTTCTCGTGCTATCCAACTAAACTTCACACTTACAGGTGGCACACAAAATGAAAGATGAAGAAGGTTTCTTTTACCCACACAATCTTGATTTTCGTGGCCGTGCATACCCCATGCACCCACATTTGAACCATCTCGGCTCTGATATCTGTCGGGGAGTCTTAGAGTTTGCTGAAGGGCGCCCTCTTGGGAAGTCAGGCCTTCGTTGGATGAAGATACACTTGGCTAACTTGTATGCTTGTGGTGTTGATAAATTATCTCTGGATGGTCGGATAGCCTTTACTGAAAATCATTTGGACGATATATTTGATTCCGCTGACAGACCACTTGAGGGAAAGCGTTGGTGGCTCAAAGCAGAGGATCCTTTCCAGTGTTTGGCAGCATGTATTAATCTCTCTGAAGCCTTGAGAAGTGAATCTCCAGAAATGGCCATTTCACATGTTCCGGTGCACCAGGTGATGATTTAAGCGGGAATATTCACTCTTGAAACTGAACCAGTTTCAAGAGCCTTTATTTATCACAATTGAGAACTGAGAAATCACTGAATATATCTGAAAGTGTTGCATTTTTTCCTTTCTAATGATCTAATCAGTTGTACTTGGTTATGACTGTTATGGTTGGCTTCTTACAAAGTTATATAAGAGGTTTAATATGCACACACTATCTTAGGATTCTAATAAAAAGAAGCTGAAGGTAGCTTTTTGAGAGACAGCTGAAAAGTGAAAACTAAGCTGTGTGCCCTGAACTGGAACTTAGTTTGTTCCAAAAATTTCAAAAAAATCTTTATCTTAGGCATCCTTTAACCAGTTTACTTTGGCTTTTCACAGGATGGTTCTTGCAATGGTCTGCAGCACTATGCCGCTCTTGGAAGAGACAAGGTAGCGATAATAATAATGTGCACAGCTTTGTCATTTTCATGAAAATAGTCTTTTGCATTTAATGGAAATCCCAATCCTCTATCTTATTCTTTGTATCATTAACTTTTCTGTGTTCACTATATTCATAGTTCGCGTTGGTAATTGTTTGTCAGTTAGGAGCACTTTCTGTCAATCTGGTTGCAGGAGAAAAACCCGCTGATGTTTACTCAGGCATAGCAGCTAGGTAATCTGATTTTGTTTGTCATGCACATTTACATATAATAATGTATTTGTGGTGTCAAGCACATTAGCTTACAGGTTTACTTGGAATTGTTTTTTTGTCAAGCATTAGCTTACAAATTACTTGGAATAGTGTATTTTTTGTACTTTTTTATACTTTCTACATCTCAGCCAAGATTATCCACATTAAGCACAGTGAAGTGAATCGCGCGCTATAGCGGCATTGTGGAGCAGGGGCTGGGGGATATCAGATTGCCTATAGCGGAGTGGTTGGCGATAGCGCCAGTGGAGTGCGCTATATCAGGAAAAATAGTGGCTGCAGCGGGTGCTATAGCGTCGCTATAATTCACAGGGCTTCTTCAGTGCTAGTTTTGAGGGGATTTGGGTGTATTTTTTTATACTTCCTGTCGTTTGAGTAAAACATAATCCCACTACATCCTTCAAAACATGTGGGGAAGAAATAACCGAACTAAATGCTACTAACTTAGCTCGAAATAGAAACCAGGATCAAACATAACCTACCCGTACATCTTCGCGTTGGGGTAGTCCAGGGCATCCAAACAACCTTGATTTTCTTTTTCCGAGAATGAATGACTGCTAATTTATCAATAATTATGATGGAGCTTAAAATTTAATTTTAATGTATCGGGTAAGTTACCTTAATGATTTGTTTCTTTTGTTTAAGAAACTAGTGCCTTTTTTTTGGTACGCCATTAAGAATGAAAATCATGAGGTTTGAGATTTTGACTAACATATTTATCATTTGAGAAAATTACCTAAATAGGACTAAAAGGACAAAGGTCATACATAAGACTACCATTATGTTATTCCCCAAGTAGGATTTATTAAATCTTATTTGAGGAATAAAACATAGTTAGTCTTATGCTTGAACTTTGTCTATGTTTTGGTCCTATATTGAGCAATTTCTATTATCATTTATTTGATTTGTTATGTGCACGGCATGCAGTTATATCACTTATATGCATACATATAATAGCGGTTCCGGTCATTCTGCAATTCGCTATACCGCTGTAGCATTTTCAGGGTTGGCCGCTATGCTCCACCATCCAGGATTGGCAACACTGATTGAGCGTACTGTCAAATTTTGAGAAAATACAGCTTTATCAAATTTGTAACTTTGCACTTGTTCAGCTTCCTATCTATATGTTGATTGCTCAAGTTTTACCTTTTTGGGGAGCAATTCTTTGAAACCCTTTTAAATGAGAAATTGAATGGATCTGGATGGTACATTGAAGATGTGGGGGTATTGCATGCCACACTTAGGTTGGATGAAATTAGGATGTGAAGTGTTTACCTTAAGTGACAACTTCTTTATTGAAGAATTAAATATTATATGTCCATCATTTTTGGAATTCGTCCTCATGTAGAGTTCTGGATATCATGAAGAGAGATGCACTGGAAGATCCTGCCGTATTCCCTGATGCATTACGCGCTAGGCTTCTAGTTAATCAGGTTTGGTGTCTATTCTCCAGTTTGTTAAAGTGTCTCTTCTAGGATTCATTATTTCACAAACATGCCATTTTGTTGACTGTTGAGTTTTCCACATTAGTTGTCTACAAGGTTTGAGTCTGATATACTTGTGAGGTAAGCCTGACCTCTTGGGTATTCTTTCTGGATGAGTTAGGCTCATTTTAACATGGCATCAAAATGTGGTCATATGGTGGTCTGGGGGGTGCTCACCGACTCGATGGTTTGGACAGTTTGTATAGGAGTCGGGTTGGGCCCATTCGGCCATCCATGCAGTTGTCTAATCTAATTTGGGTTGAAGGTTGTGTTGAGTATCTTCACCGGTTGTCTTATGTGTTGTCTAGTGCATGTGTGAGGTAAACCTCAACCCTCGAGGAACTTTCAAGGTGAGATAGGCCCGATTTAACAATGACACTTAGGGATGTTTTAAATTGAACTTGTTTCAATCTCAGACCAGATCAGGCCAGACCAAATTTGAACACAAACTTAAAAGACAATAGTAAGACTGTAAGACACACATCTACCATACCAGACATAAACAGACCCGATCAGACCAGACCAGAGAATTTCAGACCTATTAAAAACATCCTTGGAAGTAGCACAATTGATGAAAATGCTATGTTTGAAGGTTTCACATCATTGCATATATTATATACATCTTATTAATTTTTGTTAGTACCAAATACCAATATTGGTCAAATAGTTGATAGAAGTTGTGGACTTGTGGGCATTATTCAGGTTGATAGAAAACTGGTGAAGCAAACAGTGATGACATCAGTTTATGGTGTCACATATATCGGTGCCCGAGAGCAAATCAGGAGGAGACTGAAGGAGCGTGGGGTGATTGAAGATGACTCTGAACTCTTTGGTGCAGCCTGTTATGGTGCAAAAGTATGTGCAGGTTTGAACATATCGTATTTAGATTAGTTAATGTGAACAACTATATAAATTTAGAACCATGCTTTCGCTGATGAATATCATTCATTGGTGAGAAATTTGCTCCCCGTAGTCTGATATGTGAGACTATTGATCACAAGCCTGGCGATTGCCATAACCATGAATTGTTGCAATATGGTTGGAAATAAAACCTAACCTAACCTAACCAAACAAATCCGATGTACCCCACTCAAAAGTAGGGTCTGGGGAGGGTGAGATGTGCATAGACCTTACCTCTTCCCTAAGAGTAGGTAAGCGACTTCTAATAAGACCCTTTCCAAGTAGTGAAAGGTACTTAATCAGTGTAGATAGCAAGTGAGTAAATTTCAGTAAAGTAAACACGATAATTAGTTAGAAAGTTAGTAGAATAGTGGCCATCAATGATCATGACCAGCAGCTTTTTTCCGGATTGTCTAGGTCACATTGACTGCGCTAGGGGAGATGTTTCAAGCTGCACGCAGTATCATGACTTGGCTTGGAGATTGTGCGAAGGTGTGGATTCATATTTATTATGGCATCAAATTATTTATTTCTACTCATTTTTCTGCCATTTTGTCTTCTGTTTTAATAATTCTTTAGATTAGCATGTCTCATGCTTGGTTTGCAGTTGCTGAGGGATCTGAAATTTGTTGACTAAAATTGAATCTTTTAAATAGTAAATGTGCAAAAACTTCAAGATTTATCATTATATTTATAGCATCGGTCTTCTTATGTGTCAATTTTGCCACTTCAGACAAACTTGAGTATTATCTTGCAGATATCGCAGCTGAATTTCTCAGAATAATTGATAGTTACATCACCCCATTATAGCCCCCCTCCACATAAGATTGCCAGTTCTCAAATTTTGCAGATGACAAAGTTTTCTTTTCTTGGAACTCATTAAGAATCTAAGTGTCTAACGTAGTTGGCCTTTATGTATCTTTGATAGTTGATCAGACTATTATTATTTAATCTATGATGTGCTTGGTACCTCAGTGTATTGTGGAATATTATATTTGTTAATCATAAACTATTGTATTCGTGGAATAAACTATTTTGACAGATAATTGCTTCTGAAAACCAACCAGTTCGATGGACAACACCCCTTGGACTTCCAGTTGTGCAACCTTACCGCAAGATTGGAAGGCACCTTGTATGTGTTCTTTTTTTTACAATGTGTTTCATTGATGTATTTTTCTCTTTTAACCTGCAATCTCTCTCTGCCCCCCCCCCCCCCCCCCTCTCCCTCTCCCTGCAGGTTAAGACTTCTCTTCAGGTGTTAACTTTGCAGCGAGAAACAGAAAAGGTGCATTTTCTGCTTATGACTATTAAAGTATCTCAGCTGAGTTACAAATTACAAATCTAAATTCTACTTCAGATTGCAGACTTGTAGTGGCCAGTTCTAAAACAATATTGTTTTTCATCTATCTATGGAAAAATATTATTTTATCATCCATTTTCTGTATTTTAATTTGTATAAGTCAACCCATACACTTCAGATCATGGTCAAGAGGCAGAGAACGGCTTTCCCTCCAAATTTTGTCCATTCCCTTGATGGGTCACATATGATGATGACTGCAGTTGCATGCAAAAGAGCAGGCTTGAGATTTGCAGGTTCTTCGTGATATTTCATTTCACTTATGTTTAGTTGTATGATTTTTTTTTATTAATCGTCTAAATGATTTTTTGTGCACTCTTTGGCTGAAGGAGTTCATGATTCGTACTGGACGCATGCATGTGATGTGGATGAGATGAACACGATCCTAAGGGAGAAGTTTGTAGCGCTTTATGAAAAGCCCATACTAGAAAATGTAAGTGCATCAAATCTATTTATATTTATTTGCTACCTATGTCCCCAAAAAGTCTTGTTTGACTGAGGTATGGATTTTTAGTTTTGGTAAGGCTTAATGGCCATAAAACAAATACTAGTACTTTTTAGATTTTCTATCTTAGTTTAACTAAATTTTTCAATACCAGCCATTTGCGAATTTTATTGTAAATTACATAGGAAATTAGTTTTTCTTGATCACAACACAAATCTTTTTTGGGACAAGAAATTGTTCAAAACATCATTTGACAATTTGGTAGTAATAGGCATGTGATTTAAGAGTAGTTTTGACTTTGTATTTTGTGTGGTTCTACATAGTTGTGACATATTGGCATGTTTTAGTTTTTTGTGCTTGTGTAATGATGTGAAAGTTATGTCTGGAATGCTTTGATCGTAGTACTCTGCACTCAGACTAGTAACCTTGTGATATACTCCCTCCGTATTGAAATGTTCACTACACTTTCCTTTTTGGGATGTAATTTATTTTTTGCTACACTTTCCTTTTTTGCTAAGTTTTCCCTTTAAAAATACTCAATTACCCTTACTTTTTATCCATACTTATCCATACTCTCTCCTACTTTTTCTACAATATTTGTTACCCCTACTATTTTTCCCTTAACTATTGTGCCAAACCCTGTTGTAGCAATCATTTCAATACGGAGAGAGTATATTGCAAGACAGAGCTTCTATTATTTTGGAGCACCAACTTTTAAAATAATGATTGTTTAATTCAGTAGCACCATTATGTCTTTTGTCATTGTCCTTCAAACATAATGAGAATGTTTCTTGCTCTTTCTCTTCGTTATATGCATGAATGCATCTTTGTTAGTTGTATTTAAATTAGCGATCTGAATTGTGTTATACTACTGCCTAATGCCTAGGCAAGCTAATGCATGCCAGAGGTGTGCAAACAAGTGAAGTTGGAATAAATTAAGATTTTTATTATTCATAGTGGCCCAGAATGTCACCGGCTTTTATGGATGGATGTGTAAAGAATTTTGCTTGAGAGTTGAAATCCCAAATATCCTAGCTTCGGTTTTCTCTAGAATTGAGACCCCAAAACTTAATTATTTTTATGCTTAAATAATATTTGTATTCAATTGTGATGGAACCCCAATATGTAAGGATAGTATCCATAGTTCAAATGTAATACAAAAACTAAATCCTAGGCTAGTACAATAGCTAAAAATAAGTGTTGGACTAAATAGTCATCTAATTATTTTATGAGTCAAACTATTTAAAAAATTATCCAACTATGACTAATAAAGAATCCTTATTAATCCCAACTCCTTTGGTTAGAATGCACCAGTGGGGTGTTTCGAACAGTTACTTAAATAATACCATAGGTGCATATTCTTATGTAAATATTTATATTTTTAGAAGTGTGCGGTGTGCCAACTGCTAAACTTTAAATTCTTTTGAATCTATAATAAAAACATTGTGCTAGAACAATAGTAGAAAGTCTAACTTATGCTGTCATGACGCCATCTTGGCTTTACTTTGATTACAAATGATTGAGTATATTGTTGTGAATCTCTATTTTTTTTAAAAATACATCTGGGTATGTATATTTCTAATTAAAAATTGAACTATAGTGATAGATGATTTATGTCATATATGAATGGTTTGTCTTTATTCTAGAAATAACGTTTCTCGCGTTTCCCGTTTCCCGTTTCATGTTTCACGTTTCCCGTTTCAGTGCTACTTAGGCTGAACTCATTGATTAAGCTTCCTTTTGTGTGTTTTGTGTTGTGTAATTTCATTTCATACTGCAAGTAAGGTTTATCTATTGAGTTTGAAGAATTATTAATGTATGTTAGTCATCTATGGTTGAGCGGAATCAGAATTTGCCATTTTCTTCTACTAGCACTAGCATGTTTTTTCACAATGAACTGTTTATTCTTCTAGCAATTCAAGCCACCTACCTGCTTATAGTAAATCCCCCCTGTTACCCTCTCACGATTCTTTAACAGTTATTGGAGAGCTTTCAGCAGTCTTTCCCTACACTGACATTTCCACCATTGCCTGAAAGAGGGGACTTAGATATGAAAGATGTTCTGGATTCTCCATACTTCTTCAATTGATTATTACTCTCAGGGAGGAAGTGCTCCCGTATTTGCTTCTTGTGTGATAGAATCTCGGGTTATGGCCTGAAGACGGCATGGGACCCTTGTCTTTGTATATATGAGCTGAAGCACACAATAATCTTTGACCTCGCTTCGATTTGAGGCGACACAGTTTTTGATCCGCTTTGTTGGATGGGCATCTCAAGTAGACACGGGGATATCGAGACCATCTGCATAGCTATGGGGAGATGGATTTCCCATGTTACCAGGTGAAAGGGTCTATACAGTTAACTAATTCTGCAACTGAAATGGCAAATCTCCCAGCTCCTTGATGTAAATGTTTTAAATGTGAAGGTGTTTCTTGCAAGCCTCCGAGCTAATTTTATTTATTTATTTTAATAATTCAATAGTCATGTCACTTTGTTTAATAGAGCTTTTATGTAATTCTTAAATATGTAAATTTTATTTGTTAATATTAGATTAGATATTATAAAATTGAATTGAGAATATCATCAGTCTTGTCTCGTACTCTCGTTGCATGAGTGATGAGAGTGTTTGGGAAACATGAAAAGGCTTTAGAGTTTTGATTAATATTGTATTTATTATTGTTGTTCTTGAGATTAATGTTACATTTTTTGGTGATACCAAGCATATTTAATAAACTATAACCAAACTCTAAAAGAGTAATGCATACAACATATCAGACAGTGATAGGCGAATGGTATGAATTATGAAGCCCCTTGCAGTTTATTAAAATAATAATGTATCTGTACATGTAAATGATGTAATAATGAAGTGGGAGAGTTGCACTTACTGTTCATGATGCTATCTTACTTGATTAAAACTTGTTTCAATTTCCACCAAATTAATCCACTAACAGTGTGGACATAAAGGTGTTTCACTAGTTGAAGGCTTGAAGCCGAGTTATGTTTTAGCTTTTATTTACCAAAGTTTTGTGCAACAAATTATTCATCCTAATAACATACAACTCTTTGGAGTGGACTTCTAATTATTGTGGCAAAGTGTGTTCTTCTTAGTCTCTTAGAGAATAGAGATAAAGTGCATTTTTTGTTCAATTTTATTGGGGCATACTAAAAGACTCTATTTAATATAATGGCAAATAATTTTTTTACACTTCTGATTTTCTTTTAAGTTTTCTACTTAACAACATCAAGGAGATATATAACATTTCCTTGAAGTTGATGTGTTATTAGGATTTTTATACGGCAGTTGTATTTTTCTCCTTATTAGAGGGCAAATTGCAAGTGACTATTGGATACACAATCTTAGAAAATTACTCCGTAGAATTAATCAAATACTGCTTAGACTACTTTTGTATACAGGTAATACAGCCTATCGGGGAAGATCTTAGGCCAACAGTATTTTTTTGAATCATAACTAATGGAACATCATGTTCATAGTCTACTGGAAGCTAGAAGCAAGTAGCAGCAGCTATGGGTTAAAGGAGAGGATATTAGTAACCCAAGGCGACCGAATGCACTGTTAATCAAGTTGTGCTTCCCTGTTTATATTGGGATTAATTGCTCCGAAGTGCCCCTTTTTCATGCACTTGAAATTGTTAGACTCCTAACCCTATTATAGTAAACAATTATACTACACTTTAATTGCAACATTGATTAGCTTTGCACTATTCACATACTCTATCTTGATTACATTTTATTTATTAATGTATTATAAATTACTTTTTTAAGGTGTTAAATTTCCCTCATTTTAAATTTTCAAAATATGTGTTTTATTTTTATTTTTATTTTACTAATAAGAAACGAAATATATTAATGGTCAGACTTGTCCGCTGACAAACGTGAAAAGTGAATTGTTGCAACTATAACAGAACAGAGGAAATAATTAGTTAATTCAATTGCGAGTCAATTAGATTCTATGTAAACAGCTATGTTCAACCAACCTCTATATTACCATTAGCTTCTTGACTAACTCTAGTTATAGATACGGCAAGTTAGGGCCGTGCCATGATATACCTTCTCCCGTAATGTGTTAGGTCAAGATATGTGATCTTCGTATTTCGAGCACAAACTTTTTTTAGCGCTAACATTACTCAAATCACTTCTTCGAATGTGATAAATGGGCCTCGAGCAAGTAACATTTGACCTGCTTGATATCCATATGTACTTTTTGCGGATGTATATATCAACGTAATAGGAAAATCATTTTTTGTGAGACATGTTTTTTACGGATTGAGATTCTCTTCCTTGCTTTGGCAACAAGGTAGGGTGCATGGATTTAATAGCCACACAATTCAATCTTGACAGCCTCACATCCTCTCCTCCCATGTTGTCCCTGTCCTTGGATGCCGCAAGCAGTGGCGTATCCACTATGGGGGCAGCGGGGGCAGCTGCCCCCACTCAACCCCAACCCAACCCCTATATATATGTCCAAATTTTTACAAGAAATTGCTCAAATTAAGAGTTAAATGTAGAAAAAAAAATCTAAAATAGGATTAGAAGTGTTTTCTTTAATATTAAAAGAATGAAAGGCTAAACAATTCACTAAATTTTGTTATGTTTAAGACCGTTTAACTTATATTTAGCTAAATTTATTACATTTTATCTGCAATTACATATTTACACACCCATAATATAAATTATTCTTCTTTTTATTCATACTGTAGATATTATAAACTAAATTTAATCAAACAATACTAATAATGTGATTTGTTATTTGTGAAATATGAGACTAAATTGTAGTCAAGTTAGCCCCCACTCGCCAAATTTTCTGGATACGCCACTGGCCGCAAGGCACCTCTCCTGTGCGGCAGAGGATCCAAATCCTTCTTTTACGATAGATTTTCTTGACATGAGAAGGATTTCGAAATGCATATGCCATTCGTTGTCGTTATTTTTTGTACAACGGTTCTTGGTGTACATATAATTTGTGTACATTTGACATACTTTCTTGTCTACACAGATAATTGTTGTCTTTTTTGAACGAATTGCCTGCCTACACAAATAACTAGGTGGTGTACATATATTTTACACTCGCCTGTGTATATTGTACACAAATAATTAATGTTTTTTTCGAAATAATATGTCTGTGTACACATGAAAGTGTGGCAAGTGTGTACAAATTATGTATACAAATAGAATTTTTCTGTGTTGATAAGGGGCCCGATATTTTTGACACCCTATAAAACGAGTGGATTATATTCCTTTCAGCAGCTTCACTGGATCACCCAAAAAAGTAGACCTTTGCCCAGCCCAATCCATACTAAGCCATGAAACCCACAGAGGGAGAACTCCACAGTCCAAATGGGGAACATCATTTTGAGCAGATGATAAAGGAGAGGAAGCAGAGAAGGAAGATGTCCAATCGGGATTCTGCAAGGAGGTCTCGCTTGCGGAAGGAAAAGCATCTGCGCGAGCTTCGGTCTCACCTGATTTGGCTCCGGAATGAAAACCAGAACCTGTCCCAACAAATCAGCCATCTCAGTCATCGCTATCATCAATCCATTCTCGAAAATGCTCAGCTCAAAGAGGATGCCATCCAGCTTAGCCAAATCCTCACTTGGATTCTCCTTTTCCTCCATTAGCTAGCTCCCTCAAAACGCATTATACGCAGCAACACATTTCTTTTATTATTAACTTTCACAACAGAAACATTGATAGTTTCGGTAAAAATCAGTAATATATTTATGGCTCAAATTTATTGGTTTAGCACGATTATAAACTACGAAGCTCTCTCTCCCTCTCAAAAAGCATAGTGTGAAGATGTTTTTAGTTGGACACTAATTTGTCCAACTAGACTTTATCAATCAAATCAAACCATTAAATTACAGTCCAAGTAAAAACATTCTTACAAAGTTACAAGTTACAATTGTGATAAACAAAATATATCTTTTATGATTTTCCAGTTTAACTTACACACACATATATGAAAAAAGTCAAATAATGCTGTCTACTATTACGAAATCGTCACATAAGATCGTGTACTCAATATTTACAAAAAAAAAGTCATGTAATCAATGAAGTGTCATATAAATACATCTACTTATAAAAGCAATCAAATGAGTTCTAACAACCTCTTGGCAATCTTCTATCCCGGTTTTAGCGTACGTCTGACTATCTATTTAGAATAGATTATAAGACAAGAGTGGAATATTCAGCTAAGATTGGTTGAAATACAAGGCACAAACAACGACACATAAGCTAAAATCGGGATTAGGAGATTGTCAATGATCTGAGTCGTTAGGACTCATCCGATTGCTTTTAATAAGTAGCCTTATTTATATGACACTTTGTTAGGTACATGACCTTATGCGATGATTCTGTAATAGTAAAAGACCTTATTTGACTCTTTTCTTCACACATATATACTCCATCCGGTTTTATTTAATCTTCACACTTTGACTTCACACAAAATAAGAAAAGAAATTTGACTTTACTGTAGAGTACACTGTTGAGGCACTGTTTGACACTGTTTGGCACTGTAGAGACTGTTTGACATTGTTGAGTCACTGTTTGACACTGTTTGGCACTGTTTTGATGTAGATTTCTTTACCAAAAAAGGAAATAAGGAAGTGTGAAGTTTATTTTAGACCGTCCCAAAAAGGAAAGTGTGAAGTTTATTAAAAACCGGATGGAGTATAATATATAGTTTTGGTTTGACTTTCCAAGTATTTTTTACTTTATGTCAAATTAAGCAAAAAAGTAGATAATTATGACTTTTTGCTTAAAAGTGATTTCCTTTTATGAAAATGAGAACTTCTTTTTGGAACATTCACAAAAGGAAAGTAAGATCTTCTTTTCATATGTTATATATTTACTCCTTCCCTCCCTTAATCTCTTATAACTTTACCATTTTTTTGGTTATTCATTTTGTAGGTGACAACTCTGATACCCATTAAAAAAATGGGGGTACCGTACCTACCATGTATTTGATTGGTCCAAGTCATTATTTTCTTTTTAATTTATATTTAAATAATTCAACTGCATCATTCTGATTGATACATGTAGGCAAAAATATGGTACTTTATGAATATCATAAAATCTACTTTTTTTTTATCACTTTCTCATTTAATCAATTAATTTGTAGTATTAATGGTTAATTCGTAATCAGTCTTATATATCTTGAGACAACATTAATGAACAAATTTACAATTTATTCCATAATAATCTGGTCATGTTTATTATTCAGATTGAGTCCATCACATGTGCCTTTTTTTTTTTATAGTTCATGAGCGGATGTCAAATTTCAGAACGTGTGCAAAACCTCATAATTGCAATACTAGAACATCAACAATGGTTGGTTGAAGTTTCATTTTCTTAGCATGCACTTCACATTTGTAATTGTGAGTTTGTGTTCATGTTCTTGATTTTGAAACTCGGTATAAAACTTAAAAGCCATTCATATAGCAAAAAACAAAAAAAAAAGGAAAAATATTGTGCGAGACACGTGGAACAATTTGGATTATAACCATAACACTTGTTGTGAAATAAATTACGTTGAGATTAGGATTATGAATCTTTCACTGAAGTGGCTGCACCTTTGGAAGTTTCTACTTATATAAGTAAAAATTATTTTGAAAATGTATTTTATTAATAAAATAAAGAAAAAAATATATGTAAAAATAGCTAAAA